TATAACATACTTTAAGAAGGTATCCAAAAATAAAATAATTCGATTTTGGTACATTTCTCTTAAGTAAGCAATTAAATTTCCCTTTTTATAAAGATAATTGTTAAGTTAATAAGCATATGTAAACTGAATTTCTTATTCATAAAATTAAAATAAGTAGAGTCAAAGTTAACAAGTAGCTTTATTATTGTGACTAGAAATGTGGTTACTGCATTACCACTTTTAATTATTAATGTTTAAAATGTTGAATACCACTTCAGTTATAAAAATGCAATCACAAACTACGTATTTGGGATCATTATATTGTAATTGTGACAAACCACTGATAACACAGGATCAGTGGGTATGGATAGCTGTGATGGTTTCATAACATTATGTATTTAATACCACTGAATCATACACAAAAATTGATAAATTATATATTTCATGCTAGGTGTATTTCACCACATACACACACACAAAAACCATGGAGGCTGCATTATTCATCATTATAATCCATTTCCTAGCACTTATCATAGAGCAGGCTCTAGTACTTATTGAACTGAATTGACTCAGGTGCCAAAGAAGGAACACAAGACAGAATTGGGATGTACATCATATGAAGGAGATCAATGTGTTGAAAACTCATCATATGAAGGAGATCACATATATCCCTGATGATCAAATTTCCCATAAAAAAATCCTATCTGCTGGGTTAGGGCAGAGATAAATATTGCCTCCTGACAACAAATTTACATAAACCTCAGGCCACAAATCATAAAAATATAGTAGTATTTCTTGTAATATATATTATTTCCTGGATGAGTATAATATTTAAAGCAGGTTATTTTTAAAATAATATATTTCTGTAAACAACTTTCTAATTGTTTTAAATTCCTAAAATTTTTTATTTTTATAATATAATTTAAAGTAATTTCTTTTTATATCATTTCTGGTGAATTTAAGTTAAAAATTCTAAAATAATACAGGATGATGCTCGAACCAACTGAGCTACCTGGCCAAGGCTGAATGGATTTTTAAAACATTCAAATTTTCTAGTGTGGAAGATTGCAGAGGCTTTCTCTCTGTCATGAAATAAACAGTTAGGATAAATCTGTCTGACGTAGACACTCTGGAACATTGCCCTTTGAAGATGGACTTTTATCATGTTGGTCTGAGTTTTCTATTTTTCCTTAAAACTGTTACTAGGAGCCCAGTGCATGAATTTGTGCACTTTGAAAGGAACTGTGGGCTGCCAGGCTGCAGTGGACACAGGGGCAGGTCTCAACCATCCTCCACACCCCTGACTGGCCCCTCTCTTCATGGGCATCCCCACCACCTCCCCTGTCTGCCAGTAGCCCTGCTCCCACTGCCGCCACTCCCACATGCTAATGGCTCAGAGCAATTGGGGCTGGTGCCAGCAGTGGGTGAGAGCAGGGCTGGGCCATCAGCAGGGGCCAGTGGCAGCTGCTGCCCTTATTGCCCCTCAGGAGCAGGTGGAGATGGAGAAGCCTTCGAGGCGATCAGGGCTGGCAGCCACTTCCTCTGACAGCTCTGAGCGATCAGGACCAGCACTGGTGCCAGCAGTGGGTGCAAGTGACAATTTCAGCACTGGCTGCAGGTATGAGTGGAGCTGGTGTGGGCAGTGGGTGTGAGTGGGGCCATTGCTGGCAGTGAGTGAAAGAGGGGGCTGTTGGCCCTGATCGCCCCTCAGGAGCAGGGGGGGGGGTGTGAAGAAACCCTGAGGGGCAATTGGGGCCGATAGCTGAGGCTTGCATCCACTGACAGTGCTGAGCAATCAGGGCCAGTGCCAGGCACTGGCAGCGGGTGCAAACAGCACCTCCAGTGCCAGCAGAGGGTGCAATTGGTGGTGGCACCAACACCAGGTGCAAACACTGAGCAGGGCCGAAGTGCACTCGAGCAGAGAATTTTCAGTAATGACCAGAAACTTGCCCCTATGACAGTAACCAGAGCCCCAGCATGCCTGGCGGCCCTGTTCACCTGCTCTATCATCCTGCTGCTGCCAATGTCCTGGTGGTCAGCACACGTCATAACAACCGATTGTTCAGTTATTTTGCCGTTTGATCATTTGCATACTAGCCTTTTTATTATAATGGATTTCTTTGGTTCATGAACTTACGTTTTACAGCCTAGTTATAATTTCTTGTGCATTTTAACTAAAATCCTGTAGAATTGTTTGGTGTGTATATTTAAGATTGTGAACTTATAGTGGTCAATGATCTAACCTGTCCCATTATTTTCAGGAAGTAATGTGTTTATGGCTTATGCAGAAGGAGGCAGAGTGATAAGTGGGAAGACACTACAGAGAAGAGTGAATGAACTTTAAAAATTCCACAAGGTTCAAGGCTCCCATCAGCAGAAAAACAGTTAATCAAAATGACAGGTGCAGAGATACAAGTCTTTTGAGAGAATATACTGAACAACTTGTAATTACCTTAAGGAAATGTCTGAATTTCTCTTCAATCTTGAATGTATTAGATTAAGTACAAAGGATAGATAGCTGAGGCTCAGGAGTTGACAAAAAAAGAATCATGCTTCATTGTTGTAGGAAAAGAAATTGCCTATCACCTGCTGATGAAGTCTTATGTAAATCAAAACTGGATTCATTACTAACTGACTCATTATAATATTAGTTTAAGTAGAATTTTTACTACATTCTACTGGTCAAACATGCAAGAGATTTGGGTTAGGAGGAAAAATCCTGGTGAATGATAAAAAGAGAAGGATTAGGAGGAAGTGGAGAGAGCTGTAGAGCAGGCTTTAGGTATGGGAATTGAGAGAAGGCAGGAAGTAGGCTTGGTGGGAACAACTTCAGATTTCAGTGCATTTCTGAAACCTCAGCTAGGTCAGTGGAGAGCCCTCAAACACCAATTGCCCATTAGAAGAATCCCAAGTAGGGCAGGAATGGCTAACTCAAATAGTACCCTTGCAGTGCTCAGTCATTGTCTGGGAGAACTTTGGGGAAGCATGGCTTTGGCATTAGTGCAGAGGGCCTGAACATATGGTGAATGGCATCTATTCTGTTGACCCTGCTTCTCTCCTGAAGGGAGATCTGAGTGGTGAAACTGCATGGCTGCCATAGCCAGCATTGTCTATGAAAGCAACCTCTATCAATACACATCCCATCTCCCTCCCAATCTTCCCCTAACTTGCCTCCACCTCTCCATCACCTCCCCACCTCCCTCCTCCATCTTTATTCTTGGCTTCCATGCCTTCATAGCCATCGCTTGGCTGCGTAATTAAATTTAACAAAGAGAATGACACTCTGCAATGTATATTTCTTTAACATTTCAGAGATTGTCCCATGGGAAAATGTTTTGATAGTTCAATTTTATTATTTGCTGCTTGTTAACTTAGGGCTGTGACCTGATAAATGGTAGATCTTTTGCCAACTAGATAATGAAAAATATACTTAATGCATAAAGAGAATGGTGATATTATCATAAACAATTTTTTTTTACATAGTGTCAAACAGATGGCTGAAGTAGGTAATCAATAAATGCTCTGTGAATGGTTGAGAAGAGTTTTTATGATCTCTACTTACTTGAGTTATTTATTTAGATTGCAGATAGTCTCTGTCTAACCCTAGACCCCTTCTTTGTTATATACCAAGCTTAATTTTTTACTGTAAAAACTGAAACAGTCAATTATGACTCTTAAAGGAAGAGATAAAATCACAGTAGAAGAAAAGTGTTTTTGTCTCTAACAAATCTTCAATTTAATTTGTTTGCTCTAATTTGGGTACAAAATGTAACAGCACACATATCTCTGAAGGTCAACTTTAACCAAATAAAAGTTGGTACCTAGTAAAACAGAACGTGTACACTACCTCTGAATGCATACAGCAACCCAACCAAGTGCCTGAAATTACCTTTTAGTGATATATAAAGACCTTGCTTCCCTATTCATATAACTGAAAATATCTACCCTTCTGCTCTTTTGAATTTTTATTTAAATTTCTTCCAACAAGAGATATATTTTTCTATTTTACAATGCCAGCCAAATTTTTAAAGGAAAACAAGTGATCAGTGAGATAACCCCACTACTCTGCTGTTTTGAGTTCTGGCCCAAAAGAATTCTTGTTTCATTTATTAAATTTTTTTGTCTTAGAAATGTCTACAACATGAAATGAAACTAGTTAGTATCAAGTTGGTTATAGAGATTTTTTCCATGCTGTTTTTCAGACCATTTGTATTCATGAGTTATAGATTTGTACCAAATTCCAATGTAAAGGAGGGTTCCCCCACACCAACAAGTAATTCTCTGACACCAGCTGGGTGTCTTGCAATTCAACTCAATTCGGACACTATTCACCCAGAGATAGCATCAGATTCTACAGGTTAAGGGCTGCCTTCCACTTCAGATGCCAATTGTAAGTTTAGGTTGTTACGGGTGTTTCTGACTAAATGGCAATAAATCAGAGGTTCCCATGACCCCCTTAAGTTTGACTAATTTGCTTGAGTGGCTCAGAGAACTCAGAAAACCTGTTTATTCACTAGCTCACTGGTTTATTACAAAGGATGTTAAGGGATATGTATATACAACAGATAAAGAGATACATAGGACAAGATCTGAACAAAAGAGCTTTTGTTTCTGCAGAGACTAGGGTCAGCTAAAACAAGGAAGCATTCTGGTTCCCCAACCAGGAAGCTCTCCGAAGCCCCTCCTTTAGGGTTTTTGTGGAGGCCTTATTACATAGACATGATTGATTAAGTCATTGACCATTGGTGATTGATTCAATCTCCAGCCCTCTTCCCTCCCTGAAGGAAATCAGGGAGTGGGACTAAAAGTTCTACCCTTCTTGTCATGTTGGTTCCCCTGGCAACCACCCCCCATCCTTAGGTGCTTTCGAAGAGTCCCCTCATTTGAGAATATCTGAATACCTCCTGCCATTCTGTAGGCTGTCACTACATTTTGTTGATGGTATCCTTTTCTGTGCAAAAGTTTTTTTAGTTTGATGTAATCCCATTTGTTTATGTTTTATTTTGTTGTCCTTTTCCTAGGAGACATAAAAAAAATATATCACTATGGAAGGAGACAGAAGGGCATCGGGAGGCTGCCTGGGGACATACTTGTGAGACATGTACTAAGTAAGACAATTTGTAAACCCTCCTCAAGAGGATCAAAAAAAGGAAGGAAGGAAGGAAAGACGGGAGAGAGGGAGGGAGGGAAGGAGGGAGGGAGGGAGGGAGGGAGATAAAAGTCACCTCATTACCAAACTCAGTTGTGGTACCAAGGGTCTTGTTAAGAATAATGACACCCATTTTATCCTATGGCTCTGAAGCAACTTCAGAACCTGAGAATAGGAGACCAAATATAACAAAAGATGCTCCCATTCCTCTTAATGCTCAGAGAATTTCAAGGCTTTGGGGAACTGTGACTCTGAAACCATGGATAAAGACTAAAATACACATTTATGATAAATCATTGTATCACATGAGTGTTCTTCTAAAAACAACAAAAAGAGGATGATTTGTAAACAGTAAGTGTGAGAAGTAGTGGGTCAAATAACTGTAACCAGTTTCTTCAGAGCTTGTAATGAAAACAACATTAATATGCCAGTGGGAAGGTATAGTATGCAATATTTTCCAATATTATTTAATTACAATACTAGGGGACTGTTGCATGAAATCATGCACAGGCATGTGTCCCTCAGCCCAGCCTGCATCCTCTCCAGTCTGGGACCCAGAATCAGGCCTAAATGGGCAGTTGGACATCCCTCTCACAATCCAAGACTGTTGGTTCCCATCTGCTTGCCTGCCTGCCTGCCTGATTACCCCTAGCCACTTCTGCCTGCCAGCGTGATCACCCCCTAACCACTCTCCTGCCAGCCTGATCCATACCTAACTGCCCTTATCTTCCAGCTTGGTCATTCCTAACTGCCCTCCCCTGCCAACCTGGTCACCCCCAGCTGCCTTCCTTGTAGGCCTGGTTGCTCCCAACTGCCCATCCCTACAAGCCTGGTCCCTCCCAACTGCCTTCCCCTGCAGGTCTGATCTCCCCTCAACTGCCCTCCCCTGCAGGCTTCGTTCCCCCTCTACTGTCCTTCCCTGCAGGCCTAGGTCCCTCCACAACTGTCCTTTCCTACAGGCCTGGTCACCCATAACTGTCCTCTCCTGCTGGCTTGATCACCCCCAACTGCCCTCTCCTGCTGGTCATCTTGTGGTGGCCATCTTGTGGCCACATGGGGGCATCCATCTTTGATTACATGGGGGTGGCCGTCTTGTGTTGGAGTGATGGTCAATTTGCATATTACCCTTTTATTAGATAGGATGGATTGCTTCCTTTGCAACACTTATTAATGTTTTGTGGAACTGGTATTCTTTTGAAACATAGCTTGGAATTACAGTGTCACAAGATTACAACTGTCTTGTATTTTACTATTTGCCATTAAAGATGATTATAATCTTATTCACTTTGGGTTGATTAAAACCTTTACTTATAGAAAGAAGCCATGTTTATTTATTTTGAAGGTCTGGAGGAGATAATATTTGGTCCCATGGGCTACAAATATAGCACAAGTAAAAATATTAGTATTTCTCCTTTTTTTAAAATATATTTTATTGATTTTGTACAGAGAGGAAGGGAGAGAGATAGAGAGTTAGAAACATCGATGAGAGAGTCATCGATCAGCTGCCTCTTGCACACCCCCTACTGGGGATATGCCCGCAACCAAGGTACATGCCCTTGACCGGAATTGAACCCGGGACCCTTCAGTCCCCAAGCCGACGCTCTATCCATTGAGCCAAACCGGTTTCGGCAGTATTTCTCTTCATTAAAGAAAGTGTTATAAATTTGAATATATGAAAATATATATAATTATATACCATTTTACATGCTTTATATTACTTGGATCATTATAAGATTTTATTCACAAAAATGGTGATGCTGCAACAAAAATAAGATGGAAAACCATTGTGCTAGTAGTGCAGTGGTGATTGTAGGATTGAAAAACATCAATCAGGGCTGTATTGTGGACGGCATGAATTTCTATTTAATTGGGTAGGTACTTGGAGCCACTGAGTAGGCAAGAGTAGGATTAATGTTATTCTTTTAGAAGAAGAATCTGACATCAGAATGAAAAATGGTTTGAGCTAAGAAAATATCAGAAGGAACCTGGATTGTCAGGCAGGAGTCCACTGCTAATATCTATGGGAGAGGGACAAGGAGGAGGTGGTTTAGGGGTAATTTTCAAAATTTCTACGTTTCACAGTCCTACTGTTGGCATTATATTTTGTATAGAGTTGTCATGTGGACTTTTAGAAACATAAACCAATAATAAAAGGTGAAAAAGTAGAAGCATACAACTACACCTGAAAATGTAAAAGCTGTATCTGTTTTCACAGTTGCCTTTCGACAGCTGTTGATGAAGTGCAACAAATGGTTCCTCACAGTCTTAGCCTAAGCCACCTATCTTTTGTCTCAGAGCTCTCCTTTCTTAGGTGTACTTATGGCAGAAGATTGAATTACAAAATTATGTTCTGTAACATGTTTTTTCAGCACAAGTTATTTCTTTTTTTACTTGAATTTTCCTTGTTCTTATTGTGATGTTTGAAGTTCTCTGTTAGGGGATTTGCAGATCCTAAAGAACCTACGTTTTTATTTTGAAGTATATGCTTGTTTTGGTTCACAAAAATGCTTTGACTTGAGTTATCTGAAATCTCACAGAGCCTCAAGGACATGTTAATTTAAAATAACCCCTTCCATTTAGTATGGTGTGCTCTCATTTTTCTTTGGTTTAAAATTTTTATATAGAGGAAGAAAATGCAAACACAGCAGTGTATACAGAGACAATGAGGTTCATTAATTATCATTTGCATAAGTGACATTTCTACCAGTGCAGCTTCTTTTTCTATTACAAATTAAATGAAATCTATCCAGAAAAAAAAAAAAAAAAAGATCTTTCCTAATAGTCTGTCACTAGTGTATGGTCTGTGACTAGATAATTTTTAATACTTGTTCTGACAATAAACTGTCCTCATACAGATCATTGGAAAAAAGCTAGACAAACACCATAGGATCTCACTTGTATGTGGAATCCAATGAACAAGTAAAGTGATGAACAAAATAGAAACAAGGCCCTGGATACATTGAACAGATTGATGGCTGTCAGAGGGAAGGGGGGAGGGAGGACTGAATGAAAGAAGATGAAAGGATTAGCCAAAGAACATATATAGATAACCCATAGACTCAGTCAATAGTTTGATGATGGCCAAAGGGAAGGGGGTTGAGAACTGGGTGGAGGTGGGCAGATTGGGGGAAATGGGAAGCATCTGCAATAGTGGCAAAAAAAAAAAAAAAAAAAAAAAAAAGTAAAATCTGTAGTCTGTTCATCAGCCATAATACATAATTCTGGCATGAGTTTAACTTGCAAATAGTTCTCTATGAAAGGCCGAGGCAGTTAAATGTATATTGCTGTGATACTGTCCTAACCTATAGGCAGCAGGAGGCAAGTGCTTTCAGGAGTTTCTGCTTGAATCTGTAACCAACACTGCAATTTTGACAGAGAAGGTTTGAAATGTAGTTGAGAGTTTGAACTTTCACTTCAAATTTTAGGCTTTTTTCCATATGTGCTTCCCTAGGTTCAGTTGTAGGTATGCAGTATCATTCATTCACCTTGTCAGGACTTCCATTTGCCCAGTTCTTAGTGTGAGAACTATTCATACATGATATGAAGTGCATGGTACCCTTTGGATTTGTGGGATGTGATGACATTGATCCAATTTTCCACATTGAAAACTTTCCAGTAGGATAAGTTCAAGTTCTTAAACACTGGCAGGTACAACGCTCCACAGTGCCCATCCCTGCCTCTCCAGGCACTTCCCTTCCTACAATCTCCCTGCCCACTTACAGTTCTCAGAGAGGAATGTGGCTTTTCTTTTCTTTTCTTTTTTTAAATATATTTTATTGATTTTTACAGAGAGGATGGGAGAGAGATAGAGAGTTAGAAACATCGATGAGAGAGAGTCATCGATCAGCTGCCTCCTGCACACCCCCACTGGGGATATGACCGCAACCAAGGTATATGCCCTTGACCGGAATCGAACCCGGGACCTTTCAGTCCCCAAGCCGACGCTCTATCCATTGAGCCAAACCGGTTTCGGCGGAATGTGGCTTTTCAAAGGTCCCCATGCCTTTGTGCACTCTCCTTTAATAATGGTTGTCCCACTTTATGTTCACTTAAAGAAATCTGACTCATTCATTCATTAATTCAGCAGTTATTTATTGAGCACCTACTATGTATTATGCTAAGCACATAGAATATATTCAATTGTAGCTTTAAATTGGGTAAATTAAACCTTGGAAAAGCCTCAGCATAAAGTTACCTCTTTTATTAAGCTTTCCTTTTCTTGGCATTTTATGCACAATTAAAAATTTTTTTCACTTTGTTTTCATTTACATTGTATTGTGGTTGCTTGTTTTATCTGTGTTTTCTTCCTCTGGACCATAAGTACTTTGAGTACAAGATCTTATTTTTTTATTTGTTTCCCAACAAATACCTCAATAAATTTGAAAGAGCAAAAGTTAAAATAGAATAGACTGAATTCCAACTCCACCTTTCACTAGCTTGGCAAGTTAACTAACTTCTTAAAAACTGAATTTCTCATTTGTGTGTCTGAGAAAAGAACATGAAAGTTAATGAATTAAACAAAGTTTATTTGTTTTCACTGTGTGAACATTTCCTGTACAAATGCCTGGAAATGCCTTCTACACTGGGTATGAACATTCTGAAGTGGTCACAGTGGTTTTCTTCTTCCCCCTTTTCTGGGACTTTGAGCATAGAAGGAACTAATGAATGTCTGTTGAACAAATGGATAAAGCACACAGGGTTTCTATCATAAAATATGTTTAGATAGAAATGAAAGAATTGTCATGAATTTTATGTATTATTTCTTGGTAGAACATCTCTGCTGATTGCGTACTGCATAACAATAACCATGTCTTCCAGCTGTCTTAAACAGAGACAAACTGGCACTGCCTTAACCATCTTTCTTTCTTTTGGCAGAAAAGAGTAATTGTTTGAACATTTAGTCATAGTTTTTTCCTTCCAAAGACTCTATGGAACACCATAAATAAATTTATTATTCAT